CTGGCAACCACCAGTCTACTTTCTGTCTCTATGGATTTGCCTACTCTGGACATTTTGTATAAATGGAATCATACAGTATGTAGCCTTCGCGTCTGATTTCTTTCACTTTGCATGTTTTCGAGGTCCATCTGTGTTGTAGCAGGTGTAAGTACTTCATTCCTTTTTCTGGCCAAATAACATTCCATTGTGTGTGTGTGCACATATATGTTAATTTCAACTCATGGCCACCCCATGCGTGCCAGAGTAGAACTGTGCTCCATAGGGTTTTCAATAACTGATTTTTTTGGAAGTAGATCGCCGGGCCTTTCTTCCGAGGCACCTCTGGATGGACTCACAACTCCAACCTTTTGGTTAGCAGCAGAGCACATTAATCGTTTGCAGCCCCCAGGGACTCCGACAGCAGGAATAGACCCTGCTATTACTCCACTAAGCAGGTTCTTTCGGGGGCAGTAAGGTCAGAGAGAGGATAGTAGGTTGTGGCTTATGTTTCATTACTTGGTTGCTTGTTATCCTGGCCTCAGAGCTCTCTTGTTGTTGACCACCACGAGGAGGTGAGGGCTAACACGCAGCACGCGCAGGTCCTACGGGCTTTTCCCGGCACCTTGTCATAGCACCCAAACAACTCTGGGGGTTTCTGGCTCTTATATTCTCGTGTTACAGTAGAGAAAGCTGAGGCCCAGAGACCTTGATCACACAGAGACCAGCGCAGGCCGTCTGCCTCCAGGACATGCTTTCTTCACCACCTCGCCCATTGCCTCAAGCCCAGGGAGATCAAAAATGATCCATAGCACCATTCAGCCAGCCACTGCAGAGGGCTATCAAAAATGATCCATAACACCTATCATGGTTTGAATTATGTCCCCCCAAAAATGTGTGTAGCAATTTGTCTGGGCCATGATTCCCAGAATTGTGCGGTCGGCCTCCATTTTGTGATTGTAATTTTATGTTACAGAGGATTAGGGTGGGATTGTAACACCCTTACTAAGGTCACATCCCTGATCCAATGTAAAGGGAGTTTCCCTGGGGTATGGCCTGCACCACCTTTCATCTCTCAAGAGATAAAAGGAAAGGGAAGCAAGCAGAGAGTTAGGGACCTCATACCATCAACAAAGCAGTGCTGGAAACAGAGCGTGTCCTTGAGACCGGGGTCACTGCGCAGAGAAGCTCCTAGTCCGGGGGAACACCAAAGAAAAGGCCGACAGAGAAAAGGCCTTCTCCTGGAGCTGATGCTCTGAACTTGGACTCTTAGCCTACTCTGACTGTGAGGAAATAAACTTCTCTTCGTTAAAACCATCCACTTGTGGTATTTCTGTTATAGCAGCACTAGATGACTGAGACAGCACCATTCAGACAGCCACTGCAGAGGGCAATCAAAAATGATCCATAGCACCATTCAGACAGCCACTGCAGAGGTGAGTGGACCCCGGGCTCCCCTCTTTAGAGGCATGAGTCACTCGGGTAGAGGAGAAACCCTCTGATGATTCAGTATAAAAACGTAACCATCTTTGTATGTTCAGGAGCTCCGATGTGAACTCGTACCCCCTGGATTACCACTAACACTTTCAGTCAGAATTCTACCACTTGCCCCCATTTCTCTTACAGCCCGACCTCCATGAGGCTGGAAGCTCACAGGTAGAGCCTGTGCTTTTGCATCGTTGTGACCCAGCACGATGCCCAGAGTACGTGTAAGTCGACACTGAATGAACATTCGCTAGTGAGCTAACAGAAACACCAAATTCACTTTAGTCTGCTACCCTAGTTCAAACCCCCGCCTTGTCTGTTAATGCTTAGTCTGTTGTACAGTCATCGCTCCTGGCTCTGCAGTAGAGCGATTTCCACAAAGACATTTGACTTAAAACCCTGGAGAACATCTAAAATGAATTTCAAGTTATTAATGGGATCAGCTAGTAGAGCAGAGAAGTACCCATCCCTGGACATGATCAAGTGGACTAGACACACAGTGGCTTCGAACAGCCAGGAGGTAACCTTGACTGGTAGTGGGGAAAGGTGTGTTACTACTGTTGGTCTTCTCAGCAACTTCCCTTGACAGGTGAGAGGTTGTTTCTCTCCAGAAATACTGTAGCCCCTGAAAAGGCGTGAATCCCTGCCCAGGGCTTCATTCCCAGGGCCCAGTTCCAGTGCTTTCTTTGTCCTAGTAATACTTTATTCTACACTCATTTAAAGGAGCCCTGGTGGCACAGTGGTTAAGAGCAACGCCTGCTAACCAAAAGTCAGTAGTTTGAAATCCACCAGCCACTCCTTGGACACCATACAGGGAGGTTCTACTCTGTCCTACAGGGTCACTATAAGGCAGAATTGACTCAACGCACTTAGGACCAAAATTGACAATATGTGATTAACAGATGAGAAAACAGCTGTCTTAAGTAGGGAGACTGTGGCATTACTTCTGTAAAGATTACATGTCTGAAGAGACAATTGTGAAGTATCACATTACTCTGAAAAGATTTTGAAAACCTGTTACGATCAGCTTTACTTTAAAATATATAAGCATTTTGAAACGTAGATGTGTTTAAGGTTGTTGGGTTTGTAAAACTCCACTCGACAAAACTGATACCACAGAGAAATCCATACCAGATGAACAGCTCACAGACCAACAAGCCTGTCCACAAATTTAATAACACTACGACGTTTTGGATAAATTAGATTTATTATTATCAACACACACACAAAACCAAAACCAACAGGCATCTGTAACATGCTACTAGAATTAGAGCAACCAGTTTATGAATTACGGGTCTAAGGAATTTCAACAGCAAATTTAGAGCTTCCTTTAAAAACAAATCTGAACTGAGACTGTGCATTAATTCAAACAGTCTACACCCCCACACCAAAAACAAAAAAACTCTTCTTGTGAATTTTAACACTCAAATATAATCACATACGTAATCAAATATAATCAAAATTTAGAGTGGGGACCATCACCGGCAATGCGACTTGAGCCAGGTTTTCGAGAGTTGAGATTAGGTCAACCAGAAGGATGACTTCAGACAGAAGGAACAGGACTAAGCTGGGATAACTCAACAAATGCCAGGGACAATGAGGAGACTGTTTGTTTGCAGCAGAGTTGTGTATTAGAACAACAGGAGTTAAAAAGAAAATATTTTCCATTTAGATATGTATTCCAAAGCACGACCAAATCTTGGCGTAGTTGAAAACTATAGGTAGTCCCTGACTTACGACGTATTCCAGTTATGACGAACTGCACTTATGACCATCTGTTTTTTTTTTGTACATCTTATTGTTAGTAATATGTACAATTTTGTAGCACGTCATTTGCTGATGTTATCATTCTCAGATGTTCAATGTTATGATTTATAAAGATACTGATAATAAAAGGCAGTAGTAATGAAAGCTAAAAAAAAAGAGGTATTCTACTTACATCAGAACCTACTTACGATGGAATTGTTGGAACAGAACCCCATTATAAGTCGGGGACTACCTGTATTTTACAAGGTCTAGTCTGAAAATTTCATTTAAATGAGAATTTGAAAATCTAAGACTTGTCTTAGTTTTGATGAGTACATTTCCAGTGTATACCTTTTCATTACGTTCAGGAGTCGCTACCACGTTGTACGGACTTTAAATATACTGATTAACTTTTTAAAAAGCACAACTACCTCTTATGTATGTATAAGGAACAGTTTTAGTTAAAATATTTGATGAAGTAATAACTCCTGAGCATCAATTTGGCTTTCAGTGTTTGTACATCAAGTATTCATGAGAAAACGGTAAGGACAAAAAAGCAGCTTTCCTCACATTTTAAGAAAAGTTCTTTTTCAGAGGTTGTTCAGACTTTTCTAGTTTAAATACACAGGTTAACACTGCAGTTAAAGGAAAAATTAAGGGGCTACTAGTTAAGCCAAATGGGAAGAAAACGTGAAAGGACCTGCTATAAACTGCAAAGTACAATGTGACTCAAAAGAGAACGGTCTTTCCCGAAGCAAAGGCTTGAGTGTGATTACCGACTTCAAGCTCCTGTTACATCATGAATGTAATTCACTTTGGGGAAAATAGTTTAATATGTCTCTCAAAAAAATAGTTTCTATTTTTCCATCTCAAACAAAACAGTGGTTATGAAGTCCAGCGCCACCAGGCAACCTTCATCCTGTCCCACACCGCTGAGAGGGAATCCAGGGCAGGACGGACATCCAAGATGGTGAACTGGTACTCCTTGTTCACCTCACCGCCATCGTAGTAGTCAATGACATACCTCACCTCTGTCCCACAGCGGTTGATGATCCAATCGTGCCTGTCAAAAGGCAACTCATACCTGGAACAAAAACATGCCAGTGAGGGTGAGAACACTTCCCATGTGCTCAGTCCTGGTTCAATCAGGAAGAAAGATCCAGAAGAGCATGTGCACATGCCTGCTCTGAGAGTCAGACATCTAACTGGGGAGATGAGACTCACTTGGACAATCACACAGTCTACAGCACTAAAGGAACACGGTACTGAATAACATAATGACTTCAGATCAGATGGCGGCTAGTCTACTTCTACTGGCAAAGGAATCAGTCACTGAGAAAGAGACCCAGGTCAGGCAGGTCAGCTGAGATACTGCAGAAAGTCCACGTGGGAGCTGAGAAGCTGAACTATCCTAGGAAAAAAGGGAGAAATGCTAAGTGGACAGATCCCAAGAGATCTATCACCACAGGAGTAAGAGGACAGACCCAAGAAGACAGGAGACAGCTCAATTCAGTCCTGCAGTAAGATAGGAAGCAACCCACGAAACCCCAAGAAACCTGCCAACCAATGGGCAAACTTCAGGGAGAGGAAGCAGTTTACACTGTTTAGGACCTCTGCAGGAAAACAGGAGAAGAAATCTGCAGATGAACACTGTTGAAGTTTTGGTAGGTGGCACTGGACGTACTTTCTTGGTTTTTTGGGGCATCATAGGTTTGTTTCTTTCTCTTGTTACCAGAAGTGAATAATCTAAAAAACTATGGTGTCAAAGAAAAGACAAAGTTTACCCTGACCTGAGGAAGGAACAGTAACATTTTTGCACTGGTACTCACCCCATCCATGAACGGAGTCTTGCCCTTGGTGAATACTCTTTAGCTTTACCCCCAAACCGGATCAATGACGGACCACAAGGACATTCCCTAGAAATCCCCAGATAAGAAAAGTCTGTTAAAATATCTTCTTTCCTTTGAAAAAGATGATGTTCCAATTTTTCAATAGTACATTTTCTGAATGCACTTAAAAAAATCTCACATGTACAGAGAAAGGTAACTTTTTTATAATTTAAAGGAATACGCCCTCTGTTAAGAACATTCCTCTTATTTCTGGAGTGGGTATGTTCCACTCTCCTTTTCCTTCCAAATATACACACTGTTCTTTGCAAGAGTCAGGATCGAGGATCACACTTCTCTTTTGAATACAGTGGCTGGGGGTGTTTCAGATGCACGTAAAAAAAGTCCTACACTCTTCTTTCATTTGAAATCAATGAACAGTATTATGAGTAAAGAAAAATGAAAGATGAATTCCTAGGAACTAATTATGATTAGTGTTGGACCATCTCCCTAAATAAATAACCAAACACAAGCTGAGGACCTCCTTGCTGCCGGCACTTGCCCAGCCACCTGGGTACAGCAGTCTCTCACGAGGCCCTCCTAGCCCTGCCCTCCTGGAGTTCCCTGTGGGCCTACACACTAGACATACAATTGTTTCCCCATGGAGGAGGGAAAAACCAAAACCCAAACCCACTGCCGTCGAGTGGATTCCAACTCAAAGCGACCCCGCAGGACAGAGCCAAACTGCCGCATAGGGTTTCCAAGGCTGTCAATCTTTACTGAAGCAGACTGCCACAGCTTTCTCCCGATGGAGGCGGCAAAAGAGGGCGTCAACGAGGCTGCCTATCTCATTAGCGATGTACGTATTTCGGTAAGATAGGCTTCCATGCTGATGCGTCTCTCTGCTAAGGGAGGAGCAACAATCCTGATTCTAGGAACTTTCACTTCTCCCTGTAGGAACAGCTCATTAGCCTCTCTCCTCAAGAGGGCACAGGCAGAGATGAGACTCAATTCAGGGAGACTTTCTGCCGGAGACTGTGGCATGGGTTTTCAACAAGCTACTTCATTTTGACGCAGCTCTGGAAAATGGCTGCAAAGGGAGCTGAAAGTCATCCTTCAATTTCCTCTTTGCTCTTCTCTTGGTTCCAGAGTAGTGCTCGAATTAATTAGGAGAGTTTTAATTACAGCACGCTTTCAAACAAAGTCACTGCAGACACTTGCGATTCCCCCTCATTAGCAAGTGGGGAGGTGACTCCTGACAGTTGTGGGTTACTGACAGGGGTGGCGTCACGCACACCCATCGCCCATCCCGGGTCCACTGCCCAACCAGTGACACCCAGGGAGGGCTGCTCATGAATTTCAGATTCCAAATATTAAAAAACAAAACAAGGACTTTAAAAAGTCATTTAACTGGATTTTAGCCAGGACACTGATGGCACCTTCGGAGGATTTCCGCCACCGCTGCCAAGTCAGCCCCGACCACTGAGTCTTTGCGGCCGAGGCCCCAGACATGGTGAAGCAGAGACCAGCCCTCCCTGCTGTGCCCATGCTGACTGCCCGGCACCCAGCATCCACGGCCATCACAATGTGGTTGCTGTCCGACACCACTCAGTGGGGGGTACTGTCACACAGCATAAAATGCCATATAAATAAAAAACGAAATCTGGTGCCATCGAGTCAATTCCAACTCAGTGACCCGATAGGACAGAGCAGAACTGCCCCATAGGGTTTCCAAGGAGCGGCTGGTGGATTCGAACTGCCAACCTTTTGGTTAGCAGCCAGGCTCTTAACCACTGCGCCACCAGGGTTTCCTAAAATGCCACACAGCATGCTTTATTAGAATAACAAACTTCTGAATCAAGTGTGAAAACTCTGGAAAACTGGTGTGAAACAGGAAGGCTGCTAAAAGGCTTGTTTTTAGGATCTCAAGCACACTTACGTGGCGTGGAGGGCTTCCCACTTCAAAATCTCCTTCCAAGCCTGCTCGTTATTCTGATTGTGAATTCGAATGATATTATACATATCTTTCTGACTAATATCCTCATCTCTCCACTTCCACCTAGGAAAGAACATTTGGTACCATTTTACAAATACTGCTGATACTATCGTGCCATAAAATTAATCCACAGATTCATAGGATGATTTATTAAATGCTACCCTTTCTGAGAGAATGCAGAATGCCCATTGTCTATCAATCTAAGTGATCTCCACCTCATTCGGAAGATTCCCTCATAACTGCAGAGTAGTACAGAAATCCACGTATACTACAGATACACTGGAAACAAAGGGTTAACGTTCCCCTTACTCTCAGAGTCACCAAAAACCAGAGTTGTACGAATACCGTGGCACCATCTATTTCTGGGTAACACCTTTGCAGTTAGTACCACTGACTGAATATTTCCCCAACTTTTTCTAAGCATTTTATATGACAGTGGGTTTTTTTGTTTGTTTTCCCTTAGCAATTACTGGCCTTGCGTTTGCATTCTGACAGATCTGAAAAATCAGCTGATTGTCAGAAACTGATTCACTTATAAATATTTACTAAATGTCTGGGGGATAAAAACGCCTTAGCATTTAATTCTTAGATGAAGCTGACAAGCAAACTGCTATTCTAAACAGTAGGCGCACTCACTTACCCTTTCCTTAACATTGCATTCCAAAACATCTGTTCTGACGGGTAAACCCACTTTTTCTGGGAATCTGCTCTTGGGATGGAGGATTCCTCCCTGGCAGTAGACAGTGGAAAGGGCTGGTCGGGGGCCGGCATCTGATTAGGTGGTGGCATCTACATCAAAGCAGCAGATTGTGTAATGTTGGTAACAGGATATAAAGTAAAAATACGCAGTATAATTAACTTCTTTCTGGAAAGAAACACCTCACACACAAGGCACAGGGTCCCTCCGAACCCAGCGGCATCAAAGTTCTAGAAGTCTCTGAGAATTTGGCTGTTCTGCAGAGTCAGAGGGCTGAAGTGCTTTTTCCCCTTTGAGTGAGTTCTCATAAATGATAAATAAACATGTGGTTACATTTCTTGTCGTCTTCTCCTCTGACCAGATTTAAAACCACTGTCAAATGGTGCCTGATTCATCACGGTTTCTAGATTCTCTTGAAGAGCCCGTGGCCCTCTAAAGTGCAGGTTCAAATCCATCTGTCTCGCCATTCAAATGTGATTCCACAAATGAAACCCTATGATGTATGACCATGACAAAATATGGCCAGGCCACAACCCGTCTTGTTCTCATGCTCTCTGGTGGTCACGCTGCCACTGCGCCACACTGGGACTCATGTGCAGGCGGCACCCACACGTGCCTGGAGACGCGCCCCATCTCGTAGCACACCTGCAAGGGTTTCCCAAGACCAAAACCACCTTTGCTAACTCTAGCTCTACTCCTTACAGAGTTCCCGGGGCTACCACCTAGTAACTCTAGCCCAAAAGAAAACATTCATTTGGCACAGCCTCTTTCCAGTAAAGCTATTCTGGCTTTTAGTAAGTGGTTTTCTTTCTCAGGCGTTCTCTGAAACTAGACTCCGCAAGTCATACATTCCCGATTTCCCCTGTGGAAGGAATACCCAACGTCTTTCTTCTAAAAGGACAGAAGAATCAATCCCAACAGCCTGCAGTTTGTCTTGGGAGTTCGTGAAAGAATCTCAGCACAGTTAAGTCCTAGCAAGCGGAGATGAGCAGACCTTACCAGATTGGAAGGATCCAGATTCTCCTTATTCTCAGACGCAGCGGCCTTCATGGGGCATTCCACATACTCGTACGCACGCTCCTGGTGGGCAGGCAGAGAGTACGTTTTGCTCTCACAGGTGGAGTCTGATGGTTTTGTGCTCAGTGGGCAACCTGAGATAAATCAAGTAGGAAAATGGTGTCACCACAAAGGCAGGACACGTGGCTCTCTCTCTAGGGGCCCTAAAGAGCTTCGTTTTTGACCAATGATTACCAGCAGAGGAAAAGCCAGGTTTCTATCATTTAAAGCTACCTAACTTTCCGAAATCCTAAAGATGTTTTGTATATTTTCTTTGCCTCCGAAAGAGAAACGGAGACCTATCCTCTTATTGTGCCCTGCCCCCATCAAACATAAACGAACAGAAATCCTCGTCAGTTGCAAGAGTTTCTTATCCATGCCATGGTTTTAATAATTGGCTGGAAGGTACTCAGCCTGGACTGCAATGGGGAGCTGCTGCCAAGGAACCTAAGTGGGGACCGGGCCACTTTTAACCCAGTGTCCCTGACTTGCCTTTGCAAGCTGCAGACAAGTTCCTGACCAATTAGGGTACAGTGCAGGCCAGGCATTCTGTACTGATGCACTGTGTGAATACTGGGGTGAGGGAAGCAGATGCGCACAGCAGCCTTCAAAGAGGCCAACCAGTTGCCATTGAGTGGACTCTGACTTGTGGCAACCCCATGGGTGTCAGAGCAGAACTGTGCTCTGTAGGGTTTCCAATGGCTGAGTTTTTGGAAGCAGATTGCCAGGCCTTTCTTCTGAGGTGCCTCTGGGTGGACTCGAACCACCAACCTTTGGGATGGCAGCTGAATGCATAAACCGTTTGTACCACCCAGGCACGGGACTCCACAAAGAGCTAGTGGCAGAAAATCTGAGTGGCGCTATGCCTGCACTTTCTTCCCAGAATGAAATGAGGCATAACACACAACTCTCTGCCTAGGTGTGACTCCCCACGAGCACATGGCCGTGGTTTAGCAAGAAGAGGCAGACATCAAAGATGCCTCTGAAGAGGGCAGGTCTGAGCCTAGTAAGATCAGCAGCAGGAAGGGCCGCAAGGCCCAAGGATCCAGAGTGTGGATCCGTGCGAGCGCAGGGCCTGAGGAACTGCTCTCCAAGTTAGGAGAGAACGGACAGGCACCTGGCAAGCTACTGCCCTGGGAGAGGGCTGCTCGTGTGACGGAATCCCTATCTTAGGCAGCAGCAGTGACCAGTAGTGACCACAGATGTGGCAATGCTGGATGCTGTACACACTTCGTTTTCTGTGCCTCTCCTCCCAGCCCTCGCCCCCTAGTACCCCATGCCGCTACCCACTTTAGGGGGGAAGGGAGTCCTGCTATCCCTCTCCTCTCTACCAAGCAAAGCTCCAACCCTTTCCACACAGCTGCCCTTAGCTGGGTGTCAGAAAGAAAAGAATGTGTTTAAATTTTTCACATTGTATAACCAGTAGCCCCTTCAATCTCCTACAAATACCTACACTTTTTACTAATGTAAATAAATCTGACTGCTGGCTCTTCAGGATACACCCAAATGAAATAAACCAGTGGACAGCCCTACAGCCTCCTTGGGGACGCTCACAGCAGAAGCACACGTGCTTTGTCAGAATCTATTGGATTTGTCCTTGTCCAAGGTCACAGAATTTTCGCCAGCCTTGCCACTCACTAGCTGTATGATTTAGAGACTATCAGTTAGTTACTCCATGCCTCAGTTTGCTTGACTGTAAAACAGGGAGAAAACCTATCACACAGAATCCTGTGGACTAGAATATAAGCTCTATTAGACAAAGGATTTTGGTCTGTTTTGTACCCTGCTGTTCTCTCAGTGAGAAGCCCTGGTGGTGCAGTGGTTAAGTGCTTGGCTGCTAACCAAAAGGTCGGCCGTTCAAACACACCAGCCGCTCCATGGGAGATGTGGCGGTCTGCTCCTGTCAAGATTACAGCCTTGGAAACCCTATGGGGTAGTTCTACTCTGTCCTATACTATGAGTCACAATCAACTCCATGACAATGGTTTGGTTTGGTTTTTGGTTCTCTCAGTACAAAAGCAAACAAACCCCGGCAATGCTTGGCACAGAGTCGGCAGTGAGTAAATCTTTGCTGACTGAGTGATGGCATGAACGACTGCAACACAAGGAAGCGTTAGTACTCTGGGAGCACTCCATGTAGGTTCCTCTCTCTCTCACAGGTTAAAACAAGGAGTCAAAGGTCAGATGGACTCAAGACATGCTTGTATACAATCTATAGCAAACATGGACCAATTAAAAATGAAAGAGAGCTTTTCCATCTCACCGTGCATGTAAAGAATGGACTGCAAGGCCACCAGCTGCTGACTTGTTTTTAACCTGTTGCCATCGGAGTTGATTCTGACACCTAGCGACCCTATAGGACAGAGTAGAACTGCCTCACAGGGTTTCCTAGGAATGGCTGGTGGATTTGAACTGCCGACCTTCTTGGTTAGCAGCCGAGCTCTTAACCACTGTGCTATACATGAATACTGCAGTGCATGCAGGAGTAAAGTTTATTAAGACAGCTACATTTAGACCAGAGCTTCTCAGTTTCGGCACTACTGACATCTGGGGCCAGATGATGCTCTGTTGTGAGGAGCTGTCCTATTCATCACAGGATGCTGAGCAGCCTCTCTGATCTCTACCCACGAGATGCCAGCAGCACCATCTCCTCCAGTTGTGACAACCAAAAATGGCCCCAGACAATGCCAAATGCCCCCTGGGAGACACAACTGGCCCCAGGTGAAAACCACCTACATAGACACAGATAAACTTTGGGGGTGGGAGGTGATTTATGGGACAATCAGTAAGTGTCAAGTACTGTCTGAAACACTTTCATGCATTATCTCAATGAATCCTCACAACAGCCCTTTAAAATATTATCACAGTATCCCCAGCTTACAGATAGCGGACAGACTTAACAGAAGCAACTTGTCTAAAGTCACATGCCTCACAAGGGGCAAAATAAGGACCACACCCAAGCTGAGTCACTCCCAGGCCCTGGTGCTTTACCAACAGGCTACACTCCCTCTTCTTTAAAATCCTTTTGAGAACTGTCTTTTGTTTTTTATTTTCTAGACAGAGTTGATTACCTCTCATTTTCCCTTCATGCACTGGACATCCTGAAGGCGGGGATGCTGTCTGATGGTCTGAAGCATTTGAGGTCTGAACTGCAACAGCAGGAGTAGATGCAGACAAACCCATGGCTGGAATCACCGCCTTGACTCCAACCGATTCTAAATACACACGGGTCGAAGCAAAGAAACAGATTAACGCTGACGTCTCGGTTCAGGCTACTCTCCTGTTATTCTTAATCTGGCCAACCTTGTTCTTCCTACCTGTCATCCGTATGGGAACCTACTGGCAGGACACCCACCTCGAGGGATCCGTTTGAATATATTCCCCTCTTTTGGGAAACACTACTGTGAGATCTATGTCACCCTTTGGGGCACGTTTTTAAGGATGTGCGGGTTTGGGAGGTGAAAGTGAGGAGGTCTCTAAGAAAGATGACATCACAGCGAGGAGCGCAGGCCTGTGGGAGAAGGTCCGCGAGGCGGTAATCCGGATGGGGGAGGGGAGACCCACTTTGCCCAGACCCGACCCTCGGCCCCGGCGCCTTAGCGAAGGGGTCGTGGGAGAGTACGGCGCAGAAAAGAGGAATCGAGGAAAGAAGCAAGGGACAGCGGAGGCCGGGATACTGCCAGAATCTCCCTCACGCCGTCCTCGCGCCTCCCACCTGCTCCAGCTCCCAGACTCCAGACCCCACCGGCCGCAACCAGACCGCCCCTCCGCACCTTACTCCTCTCCCGGGCTGCTTCGGGCGGCCGGCCCCCGCCTTTAACCGCCAACCCAAGCCCAGAGCAGCAGTGACCAGCTGCCACCGCCACCCTCCCCTCACCCGGTCACCGCTGTCTCCGCGGTCACAGCCGGCACCCGCTCACGCCGCCGCTTCCTTTTCCGAAGGCGGGACTTCCGGGCGTGCGGGAGGCGGGGCGCGGACTGAAGAGGCGGGGCTTCTGGTAACCTCCGCGGAGCGAATCCCTCCTCCTCCCCCAGTCGGCCTATAAGCGCGAGGGCGCGCTCTCCGGCCACGCCCCTCCCGGCCAAGAGACCATTTAATCACGCCTTAGAGAGGTGAGATTTTATTTTGGTTCAGAGACTTGCCCGGAGTGAGGCTGTTGGCTATAGAGGCTGTAAGCGGCAGAGGGGTTACTCTGGAGTTTTTAAATTTCTATTTTTAAAATAGGGTCCCGTCAGTTTAAATTATAGTAATCACTCCAGAAACGTCAGTAGGTGTCCGGAGCTGCGGCCGACTCTTGAACTTTCCGAAGTGCACAAGACAGGGTCCTACCCCCAAGGACTTCTTAGCTGGGTGTGGACTTCGATGGAAAAAAAAGTACGTTTTTATTTTCACTTACCTTGAGCGGAAATTTAGCATTTTCTTCCATTAGGAATGTAGGCAACAAATCCCAGTAGTGTTAGCTCTGTGACACCAATGGTAATCACAGGTGTAAATGAGATCACATGTAGCTGTTTGTGTCTGCCTCAAAAATACCATTCATCACTACTTAGAAATTAAGGTAGCTAGCTATTGTTGGAAACCCTGGTGGTGTAGTGGTTAAGATCTGTGGCTGCTAACCAGAAGGTCAGCAGTTTGAATCCACCAGGTGCTCCACCCTGACCTATAGGGGTGCTATGGGTCGGAATGGACTCTATGGTAACGGGTTTGTTTTTTTTGTTGTTGTTGTTTAGACCTTGTTAGGAAGCCCTCGTGGCACAGTGGTTAAGAGCTCAAGCTGCTAACCAAAGGTCAGCAGTTCGAATTCACCAGCTGCTCCTTGGAAACCCTATGGGGCAGTTCTCTGTTTTATAGGGTCGCTACGAGTCGGAGTCGACTGGAGGGCAGTGTTTTTTTTTTTTAGACCTTGTTAGGAGTCCTTGGGTGTCACAAATGGTTAAGTGCTCGATTACTAGCCGAAAGGTAGGCGGTTCAAACCCACCCAGAGGCATCTTGGAAGACAGGCCTGGTGATTCTGCTTCTGAAAGGTCACAGCCTTGAAAACCCTATGGAGCAGTTCTACTCTGCACACATGGTCACCATGAGTCAGAATTGACTGCAAGTAACAACAACAACAGCACTAACCTAAAGGTTGGCGGTTCAAACCCACCCAGTGGTGCCTCAGAAGAAAGGCCTGGTGATCTACTTCCAAAAGGTCACAGCTTTTAAATTCCTATGGAGCAATTATCTGCAACACACGGGGTTGCTGTGAGTCAGAATCGACTCCACAGTAACTAACAACAATAAAGTGTTAATAAAGAATCGTGTATCTTTCTACTCACTGTAGTCATCCCCTGGGTGCTGGGAGTGCTGGCAGCTGGCAGCTCTGAGCTGAGTGTCTCTCTAGGATTTGCCCTCTGCCTAAGACAACTGTCTCCTCAAGCGAAGCCACATTCCCTCCCTGAGAACGGGCTGCATCCAATGAGTGGTCTCTGCAAGGGTGCATAGGCCCAGCGTGCTTACCTCAAAGGGGACAACTTCAGAAGGGCCATTCCAGCTTCAGAGCTGCTCATAGGATCTGTTGCAGTTCAACTTCTCCCTTTGCCCAACCCTTCTACCCTCACTCTCTCACAGTTGTTATTCCCGAGAGGACAACTCTTACATGCAAATCTCGGAGACTCGGAATATATTTCCTGGGAAACCTGGCCTATATCCGTCACAAATCTGTTGTATTTAAATTTTTAAAAATATGTCGACAACTGTATTCCCATACAGTTTTTTTGTAATTCCTTATATTTTGTGTTACGCATGTAAAAATATTACTCTGAGAAGATGTTCATAGCGTTCACCAGACTGCCAAAGGGGTCTATGGCACAAAAGAGGTTAGGAACCCCTGCTAAGGGGAGATTCGGGCATGCAAAGAAGCAACCATATTTGTAACCTCAGTGTCTGTATGTACAGACTGTTTTTTTTTTTGAGGGGGTGTTAGCGAGTTGATTCCAACTCATAGTGATGCTATATGACAGAGTAGAACTGCCCCACAGAGTTTTCTTGGCTGTAATCTTTACAGAAGCAGATTCCCACGTCTTTCTCCTGCGGACCTGCTGGGTGGGTTCAAACAACCAACCTTTTGGTTAGCAGCCGAGTGCTTACCTATTGTGCCACCAGGGCTCCTTACATACAGACTATTCTGAGGCAAAAAGGAAGAAGTGACTATCGTGAGGGTGATGGACCGGATGTGGGTAGGAAGGGAAGAGTAAGTAACAGGAGGTCTTTATAGAGGAGGAGATACTCAAGCAGCATGTTAAAGGTGGGCAAGAATACTCGGGGTGTGGCAGGGGGGACACCTTCATCCCCAATTCCTGCTCCCCGAAGGCAAAGAATCACTGCCCTTTAGCTACTTCTTCTGGCACGTCCCTCCACATTCCAATCTAACATGCTACTACTGATATATATACATAGATCTCAGTTTTAGATTATCGATTGACATCTGATTATTGAGAATGAGATTTTGACTCTTTCCCCTCTCCCCTCCTAACATGGATGCACACACAAACACAAACATCTTCCTGTCTTCTCCCATACCAGTAGTTATATAACAATTTTGGGTAAATTAGGGTTTAGTATTTACATTATTATGACTATGAAAATATTACCAATAGCTGAGTCAAGTGCTTGATTATTAGCTGAAAGGTTGGCTTAATGAATGATGATGAATATTCTTTCTTGTACAAAGTTTTCACTAGAATTTAACACTTGCTTTTTTTTTCCTTTGTCGGTTTAGTTTTTAATGATTATCCCTAAATTTCTTGTCAGCATTTAAAATTTCCTCTCATGCACTCAAATATATCAACTATTCTATATGTTTCATTGTTGTTTTCCTTGAGACTTAACTCCTAGATAAGCACTCCACCCTTGCCACTGCCCAATTCTAGACTGTTTGCAAAGAACTTACGCCAGTTGTCTTCCTGGGACTTGCTTTTCATGTTTTCCTGGAAGTTGTTCATCCCTTTATATTATACTGTGTTAGATCTCTGGTTGCTGGTTACCATATATTCTTTCCGTTGTTTTGGGAGCACATCAGTTTTTGAGATCTCGAAAATCAGAAAATGTCAGTGTTTCACTCTTTCACTTGATTGTAGGTATAAAATTTTAGATTTGGAAAATATTTTCCTCAGAATGTTAAAGCTGTTGCTTCATTGCCTTCTAGTTTCTCTTGTTGCTGTATAGAGATTAAATGCCATTTCTCTTTATCTTCTTCAGTATTTTTAAGATCTTCTCTTTCTTACCAGTGTCCTGAAAAGCTGTGCCTTAATGTGGACCTCTTTGCTTTCATTGGCTTGAGCACTCGATGGGCCCATTTGATGTGGAAACTCACAACGTTCACACTGAGTATGTGTTATTACATTATTTTGGTAATTTACTCTCTTCCCTTTTTATTAGTTCTCTTCTTTAATGAACTCCTGTTACTCGTATATTGGATCTCCTAGACCGATACTCTAATTTTCTTATTTTTTGTCTCTTTTTCATAAGTTTTATTTGTTTTAGGAGATTAAAAAAAAATCTCCTAACCTTCTTATTATACTTTTTATTTCTGGTGCCTATTTTTAATCTCCAAGAAATACATGTGTGTGTGTGTGTGTATTGGTGTGTGTATGTGTTTGTATTTGTGTATATGCATACGTGTGTGTGAGTGTGTGTATGTGTGTGTGCATGCATACGTGTGTGTGAGTGTGTATATGTGTGTGTGCATGCAAATACAAGGTAGCACCTGTGGGGTTGCCAATCTATGATAATAGGATGTGAACTGCTACTATCAGAACTAAGGGTTTAGTACAAAGTAAAAATCCGCAGCTCTTTTGGAGTTACAAACTGGAAAAATGAGTCACTGTCCCAAACCTATGGTTCCTCGTCCTTTCAAAAGTGCTGCTACTTTTGTATTTCTCAGTGCCCCCACAATTCTCTCCCATAATTCTTCATTATTTCCTACCATTCCCTATCTCTCCCACAATTCCCTGTCTGTTCCACAATTTTTTGTTTTCTCTGACAATTCTTTATCTCTCAAAATTCTCCATTCTCCTTCACAATACTCCATTCTTTTTCACAAGTCCCTGTTTCTTAAAAAAAAATCCCATTTCTCTCACAATACCCGTCTTTCTAACAATTATTCAGTCTCTCCGACAATTCCCCATCTCTCTTACAATTCTTCATTCTCTCACAATTCCCTGCCTTTCCCACATTTCTCCTTTCTCTTCCACAATTCCCTCTCCCACAATTCTCAGTATTTCCCACAATCCCCTATTCTCTCACAATTCCCACTATTTCCTACCATTCCTTTTTTTCTCCATAATTCTCTGTTCCTCTTCACAATCCCATCTCTTCCACAATTCCAGATCTGTTTCACAATCCAATGTTCTTTCCTAGAATTCCTTGTCTATCCCACAATTCCCTGTTTCTCCCACAAATCCCAATATTTCACACAATTCCCTGACTCTCCTATAATACTTTTTTCTCATCACAATCCCTTGTCTCTCCTAGAATTCCCAGT